CACCCCAACCACCCTCTGGAGCATTTCCCCACTTAGAAAAGGAAAAACGTATATAAGGTTGAGGCTCTAACAATAAAAAAAGCTCACATCAAAAATTCCCTAGAAGAAGTTCACATCAAAAATTCTCTAGAAGAAGTTGTTTTGACACTGAAAATTTCTCAAATCCAATCATCTCAAGTTTGAGATACATGGACATAAAAAAAATAAAACATAAGTCATGAAAAGCCACGAAAATAGTGCAACTTTTTAAGCTTTAAATTTTATAATTAGATATGAAAATAAGTTTTTAAGCCATCATAAAGATTTTTTATATTGAAACATTATTCGACACTATTTGAAGATGTGCCTTACTTTGATTGTTTGGTGCTTCAGCTTTATATAAATCTTACGAGTTAGGCGCATCGATCTCGCCCTCTGGATCTGAATGATCTGGCAGCACGCGTCTCAGGTTTTGGGGGAACCCAGGACTTTGAGATCGCTCTCTCGGGAACCTTGATAAGAAGCAAAGGCAGGTATACCAACCGATGAGAGAGGAATTTAAGGTGGGTTCGAGACTTACTCGGGCTGGCTCGCGTGGGCGCCCTCTTAGATCACGAAGAAAGCACCCCAATCCTACAACTGGTTCGGAATCGCCTCCCTTGGCCTGTATTCCCTGTTTCTGCAATCACATACATATGGTTAATTTTATAAGAAGTGGGTCGAGGGACCCCACCTTGTCTTTGAGTGAATATACACGTGTGAACATTCAAAGGATAAAAGAGAAGAGATGATGAGATGAGGGTTGGAAGAAAGAGAGAAGAAAAGATAAGAGAGAGGCCCTTGACTGGGTGACTAGCCTAGCATAGTGGCTAGATTGGTATGATAATTGACATGTCGGGGTAGCAAGACGGGTACGGTAACTTAGACCAGCACAACGGCAATACTACTCGATGACAGAACACCGACACCGATCAAACTGGCACAATGGCTAGTTCGACATGGCAGCAAGACGGGCACGGTAACTTAAACTGACACGACGGCAATACTGCTTAATGACGAGACTACTGTGACAGTGCTAGACTTGTCCCTCGATCAAATGAGAGAGGGAGAAGAAGAAGAAAGAGAAAGAAGAGAGATAAGAAGAGAGAGAAGCATGGATGGCGATGGACTTCTGCTGTCCATGACAGAGAAAGAGGAGAGAGAAAGAAATATAGACGGCGATGGACTTTTGCCGTCCATGATAGAGGAGAGAGAAAAAAAATGGACGACGATGAACTTACACCATCCATGACAGAGAACGAGAATGAGAGAGAAAGGAACATGGACGGTAATGGACTTCTGCTGTCCATGATAGAGAAAGAGAATGAGAGAGAAAGGAACATGGACGGCGATGGACTTCCGCCGTCTATGATAGAAAAAGAGGAGAGAGAAAGAACATGCATGGCGATGGACTTCCACCATCCATGACAGAGGAAAGATGAGAGAGAAAGAACATGGATGGTGATGGACTTATGCCGTCCATGATAGAGAAAGAGAATGAGAGAGAAAGGAATATGGATGACGATGGACTTCCACTGTCCATGACAGAGGAAAGAGGCAGGAATGAGAAATGAATGGCATGCGCGGCGATGAGCATCACCGTGCACCACATGAGAAAGGGGAAATTTAGACAGAGGCCCTGCCCACCACTCGGGTTAAGGTACGACTGGAGAGGAGAGAGCAAAGAAATCAGAGTGAAGGCAAGAAAGATAGGGAGGAGGAAAGAGGGTTTTAGTAAACAGGAAGAGGAAAGTAAAGTAAAAAGAGAAGAAAGGAAAGAAGAGAGGGCAAAGGAAAGTGATGAGAGAAATTGGGGAGATGGAGAAGAAAGAAGGAAAGACAGGGAAAGAGATTAGGAAAGAGAAAAGAAGAATAAGGAAAGAGAAGAGGAAAGAGGTATGCACGATGTTGCCATCACCGTGGGTGTCAGAGAGAGAAGAAAATAGAAAGAAAGATTCGTGCACAGCGTTGCTATCGACATGCTTCTTCTCTCCCCTCTCTCTCTCTCTCCAAGATGTACCCACGAACTCAAAGAAAAAACGTGAACTTTATAGATCAATTGAAAGTCTGAGGGGAATTAAGCCAGCCCTTTACAATTAGGAAGGACCTCCTTTACAATTATGTTTAGCACGTATTTATAGAATTGGGCCAAAACATGGATGGATGCCCAAAAACTATCTCAATTGATGATAATTACAATTATTTTGAATTAAAATATATTCTAAAAATGGGTGAAAAATGAATGTTTTGCCCTTACCTAATAATTCATGGAATTTCAAAACAGTCCCTACTGCTGCCCTAGAACGTACGTGATCTTCTGTGAATGATCTGAGGTTAGTCTGGTGCCCATTCATCCGAAAGATGATTGTTTTCTTGTAGGGCTCGACATGGCGATCGATTTGATACCAACTTTGAGCCATGGATCGTGTTTTTAAGCCATGATCATGAAACTTGAAATTTGGATGAATCTTGAAAACTTCGAATCAATGGTGTGCTCGTTCCTTGATATTTCTTCGTGACTGGATTATACTAAGCATGCCATAGCGATCGCGTGGCAATAAATGCAACTTGATTTTGTGCTTGGACGAAGATTTTGCAACTTTGGAGTTTTGGTCGGCATTTGGAATTCTAGCGTCGAAATTTATAGTCACTTTATTGGCTTTGTGTGCGAAATCCGACCGTTCATCATGTACGGGTTTGGACCAGAGATAGCCCTAAACCTTACACACACGATGGAAGTAGTCTCGCATTAATCCGATGCGCGAGTGTTGTGATTTGGCTGCTCGAGCAAGGCGTGTCACTGCTGATTTTCCTGCAACTTTATTTTCTCCTTGTTCGGGCGTTGTCATGGGGCGTGCCAGATATCGAAACGCTCATCTTGACGAGATGAACACGCTCACAAAATTTGAGCACGATATGACTCGGGACGAATGAGATATGACCCTTGAAAGTCACTGTCTAAGACTATAAAAACAACTACTTGTAATGGTGATTTGGTGCAGGGAGGGCGTACGGGAATAGTGTGCGACCTACCCTTTTATCGTCTTTTACCCATAATTTTGTCCTGGAGTGCCCGATTAAGCCGAAACTTGACCGATAGGGGTTTTCGATTGTATTGGATCCAATGGCGGTAGTTCCACAATAATTTGACATACTGAAAATAAAGCTCTAGTTATGGGGTCCGCTTCTTTGTCTGCACTGCCTTCGACATGTCCGATTGCAATGAAACTTGGCAAGTGGCCTTTTGAAGTGCTTAAGAACATTTTGACTTGTTCTCGAGTAATTCTGAGACTGTCGAGAATGCCACTGTATGTTAAGGCTTTATTAACTGACTTCCTCTTTTTTATTCCACATAGGGGACCTAAGGTGCTGGAAAATGTCTTCAAACACTCACTCATTTAAAATAATTCCTAAAATAAGTAAGGAGAAATATCACTGTACACTATCTTTTTAGGTTTTATTTCTCAACAGACCCAAGAGATCGTATAAATTATATCTTTTAAACGCTAAAATAACTTCACCCCTTTGACCCCATTTTTTTTAGCCCAAACGAAAGCTTAAAAGACATTATTTTTTTTATTCTTTTCCAAACCACTTCTCTCTCTCTCACCAATCCTCTCTCCTTTTTTTCAATATTAAAAACAAAGAAGATATTTTTCGAATGATATTTTTTAATATTTAAAAAAGGAGAGAGGTTTGGTGAGAAATCCTAAATGAGAGAGAAAAGGACGTTTAAAAAGGAATAAAAAAAGGAACGAGGTAAAAAACAATAATTTTCAAATTATCCAATAAAAAGGGATATTTTCAAAAAAATCTCTGTTTACAATAATCCCATTTTTTCAAATGATACACAGGTTCTCTATGCGGCCAAATATATTTTAAAATCTTGTGTCTATTGAGAACGGGATTGTATACAATGAGACCATTTACCTTTTATATAAGGTGGTCACAATTTTCTTACAACCATTTGATGTGAAATTTGATAGCTTGGATGTGTCACAAAGTTTGAGAAATTTTCTTTTGAAATTTGAGCTTGGTCAATGGAATAATTACAGCCACCCAACTTTACATCCAATGGTTAAGATTATTGTGACCACCATGTATAAAAGGTAAAGGAAAAATTACAAATAACCTTCCCAAGACTAGACTTTCTATGCAATTTACACTCAAGCAAACTTTTTTTCTCACTTTTTACCCCAAAATATACTTTCGTAGTAAACACCCCAACTCCGAAAAAAAAAAGTCTAAACTACCCTCCCTTATTTTTACCCACGTCACTCTCTCCTCTTTTCCATGAAAAAGCGGTCTGACATATTTTTAGGCGGTCTGGCAGTGTAATGTCGGTATGGTAAATAACAGCAGTGGTCTGGCAACAGGCTTATGCAGTTCAACAACAGGCCCATGCGGTCCAGCAATAGGCTCATGCGGTCCAACAACAGACCCATGCGGTCCAGCAGCATGCCAAAGTGCAGCCCGACAATGTCAAATATCGTTCGACACTTTTTTTAGTTTAAAGAGGTCTAACAATGTCAAAGAGAAATTCGATAGCCTATGTAAGCCCACGTAAACGTCCGGCTAAAATTAAATTTTTATGTATGAAAAATGGTATTTTTGTAAAAAAATGTATTTTTTTTACTTTGGGGATATTTGTTTGAAAAATATATTTTAAAGAAAAAATGAGAAATAAAGCTTCATTGAAGATAACTTGCATATCCAATCCTCGAGGTTATTTGTAATTTTTCTGAAGGTAACTCTTTTGGGACTTCATTAGCGCGGGTTAGGGACGAGTACTAGCGATTCTTGTACGAAAGAGTAAGCAACAAAAGGTTGAAGATTTGGTCAAACATTCAAGATAAAGAATATCGCTGGTTGTTAATGACAACCGTTACCGTCAAAATCATCAAAACGTAAATTACGAAAAAAGAATTTGAAATATAAAATGACACTGATAAATAAAACCGGCAAAGAATGGGAGTGGGGGCAATGCAAAAGTAGGCTCGACGTGGGACGCTGCTGCCCTCACAAGCACCGTCCTCTCTCCCTCTCTCTCTCTCGCTATATCTCTCCACAAAGCCGCCACCGCCACCGCCACCACCACCACCAAAAGGAAAACCCCAAACTATAGAGAGAAAGTGGAGAGAGAGTGAAAGAGAAACACTGACGCGGGAAACTCTAGAGAGAGAATAGAGGAGAGAGAAAAAAATCAAGTGGCAGCGTCCACGAGGCCCCCCGGCCAGACGCCGATGAGGAAGAAATCTGCTTAGCGAGCGTCCATGGCGGAGGGCTCTCTCTCTCATCACTCCACGGCGGGGGGCGCGCTCGTGCCCTCGGTCAAGGGCGAGCAGAGGTCTGGCTCTGCATCGGCACCGGAGGGCGATGAGGGCTTGGGAGTCGGGTCGGGGCCAGGGGCGGGGGCGGGCTTGGGCGTGGAGGTGGATAAAGATTTCCTCTGCCCTATTTGCATGCAGATGATCAGGGATGCCTTTCTGACGGCCTGTGGGCACAGCTTCTGCTACATGTGTATTGTGACGCATCTCAATAATAAGAGTGATTGCCCCTGTTGTGGCCGATTCCTCACCAACAACCAGCTCTTCCCCAATTTCCTGCTCAATAAGGTTATTTCTCTCTCAATTCTCCACTTCTCTGCTCAATAAGGTTAGTTCCCCTCTCTATGAATTCTCCAATTTCTCAATAAGGTTATTTCTCCTCTCTCTCCACAATTCTTCTTTTTCTCTCTCTGCTCGATTTCTTTCTCCAATTTTTTTCTCGTTGTCTGCTCAGAATGAGTTCAGTACTCTCTCACGCTCTCTCTTGTCCTTATTCTATTATTAGGTTGGTGCAGGCGCTCATTGGGTGTTTGTGCTTAATGGAGTTTTTATTCATGCGTAAAAATGGGATTATTGTAACAGTGTTGGAAAAATGGGACCAGTGGGTTGAACAAATTATCCGGTTCCGAGTCGAACTGGCTGACTGACAACTTGGTTTGGCTGAATTAAAAATACAGAAAAAGACGAAAATTGTAAGCAAAATTTTAAAGTTTGGAATGTTTAAACGTGGGTTTAAAAACCCGGCAGTTTGACTTGTAACACCGCAGTCGAACTGGAACCAGCATGTAGCCGGTCCCATTGTTTCCACAGCTCAGGACTTAGCCTAATAAACCAAAAATTCATATTTAAAGAAGCCTTTTATTTATATTTTTAGAATGTTTTTGAAGTAATCTTGGTTGAACATTTTAAACTTTTAAAATTTCATGTAAATTTATTTTTCTTTATTTATTTTGGCAATGACTGGCACTGCCTGGGCTGGTTGGATGTGAAACCTCCTGATGGTCCGATTTTTCGTACATTGGTTTAAACAAGGTTAAGGAACCATAAAAGTCGAGATTCCTCAAATAATAAAAAAAAAAAACACTCCAAAAGTCGAGATCATTCTAAAAACAATAGTTCTAAAATAAAAAACCCTTCCACTTTGGTGTATTAGGCTAAGTCCCGAGTTTGGGAGAAAAATCGGGTCAGTTTTTTTTTGAGAAACGGTTAACCGAAACTTGGGCCAGTTAACTTTCGGTACCAGGTCACAGGCAGTTAAGAGGCAAACCACGAACTTTTTAACACTGTTCAGTATTGTAATATATGTAGCTCATAAATAACATGCTAAACAGATGCTCAACTTTCCATCATATCTCACATGTATCCCCAACCTGCTGTTTTCAATGAATGGGGGTTTGAGATGAGCTGGTTGTTTCTATTCTTTGATTGTGAGAGTGTTTGTCTCAGCCACTTGTAGCTGACAGTGACGGTTGGGGATATATATAGCACATACTTCATGTACCATGGTACACTTTATCCTTATATTTTTCTGTTCTATACTCTGCAGTAGTCCTCTGCTTAATACATGAGATTGTCTAGTACATTTTCTACTTTGGCCAAAAAACAAAATTAGTTGCCGAAGCTTGCATAGCATGTCAGTGCAATTTGATCCAGCAAAATAGTCTTACATGTTTATTTTCGTGAAATTGGGGACCTAAGTTTCAAGATCTCCGAGTCGACTCAGAACTGCCCGGGGACAGTCCATTTCCCCACCAAATCAGGCGAGTTGTCCAATTATTGTTCAAAACACCTTTTTACCCTTTTGGTGTATTATTTTTCATTCGTAAATGCCATATTTGAACCTATTTATATCCAAATTTTCCCAAATCAATTTCCTTGGTTTGGGATTGTCGAGTTTGGTGTTGGAAACTTTTTTTTACCTCCAGAAAGCACTCGCATAATGACTCCTTTAATCAGTTAATATACCTTGAATCTACTTCCTGAAATCTGCTGTCTTTATTGCCAACCATGTGTGCATTTAATGAGTGAGCATTGTAGTATAAGTTGGGGTGAACCTAGCAAAATGTAATGGTATAAGTTGGTGTGGGCTAAGTAGTATCAAGAAAGCTTATTTATGCTTTTTAGAGAATTAGAAATGAGTCAATGTTAAGAAGAGATAGATGGGCGGCACATCGAAATTCATCCCACAAGTTTGTCTAGAGCACTTGTTAAATTCTCAAATGACCTATTGCTTGAAGGGAGCATGCTGGAATTGTATGAATTCATTAGCTGGAGTAGACTTTAGAGTGGGGTTGTCTATCATAAGTTTAGGGGAGCATGCTGGAATCATATGAATTCATTAGCGGGTTGAAGTTTGTTATGTATTTCCTAAGTATCCAGATTTGGTTATGTATTTCCTAAGTATCCAGATCAATGTCATGTTGCTTATTTTCATGCAAGTCGAATTTATTCTGGACTGTAGTTTTAAGCTTTTGAAGTTGCTTCTTATGGTTCTTGGCTTGCTGTTGGATTTTGTCTTTCTGCATTTTGTAAATTGGTATTGTAACTGTTGTTCCAACATGTGGTTGTTGAGCCAACTTAGATGACAGATAAACTTTCGGGACAAATTAGCCGAATTACACCTTTCTTTTAAGTGTTTCTAAATTATGCCTGGCAAATGTGTGGAATCTTTTTTTTCACCATTATTAGGAGAAAACTTTTTATTCATCAATGTAGTGATAAATGTTATGTGGTAGAGGTAGCTCTGTCTGTTCTATATGCATTTTGGCGGAGACTTGGTTAAGGGATTGCCAATGAGTGATCTTATGGAAGAATAGTAAGTATATGTGATCATTAATAGAATATATACGTTTCTGTTCTTTTGTCCTTTGAGTTGCATGCTATTCAAGTCAAAGGTGTACAGCAATTTTTTGGAATGTGACGCTGGCCATAGTCAAATGACATTTAGAATGGAGTGATTTGACTACTACTTAGACAAATGCACAAATAACGGAATTTCGATCACTCAATGGTGATTTGTTGAGATCCACTTAGTTTGAAAGGTATTGTGAAGGAACCGCAATTAAAATATCAGATACATATAAAATCCTGCTCTCATCTCACTGGTTAGAAATGTTGATCATTCTGTATGTTTAGAATGTGAGGTTGTGTTTTGTCTTGGGCAAACATTGAGGGTGAACTACTCATGGAAGGGCGAAAAATTTAAGTTATTTTATGTTGTGTATTCATTGTCATGGTGTATGCTGAGTAGATTCTTGGTAGGTCATGTTGAACTTATGGCTTCTGCAGTTTCTACATGAAGCCTTGTCCATTTCTTGAGTCCTTAATATTTATTTTAACTGTAGATGGTTACTGCGCTTAGGGCAGTGCAGAATAGAGATCACAGCATCTATTGTTGTAAGTCATGATTATGAAATAGAGCTTGCTCTTTTAAGAATCATGATCACCATTTGATATGCTCTCTTTGTCTTGGTTAGCATCATTCACATGGCTTTCTGAGACATTATTGTTTTAACAGACATATATGTGGATGGTGTTGGTATATATACCAGGGCTAATATTGATGGCATATTCTCTAGGGAGATTCTGAATTTTGTTTTTTGGATGTTTGAATCTGTTCTACAGCTCTTAAAGAAGACATCCGCATGCCAAATAGCAAAAACAGCTTCTCCTGTAGAGCATTTGCGGTTGGCCCTTCTACAGGTTAGTCAAAATTCTGTTGAGACTTTGTATGGAGTTTTTGTAGTCTTTTTATAAACTTTATGAGACATGTTCTAGTTGGGTAACTCTGAGTGATGTTATGTTGAAACTTACATTAAACGCAATGTTTTTATTTTCCGACTGCACTAATTAGCTGAATTACGTTCTCTTTGTTTTGTCTATTACTCCTTTGATAATGGATTTGGAGTTCAAATAATTCAATGCTATTCATTAAATATATTGGCAAGAAATTCTATGAAAATATTCAGGTGCCATATGTGAAGTATTAGCAGCCATCTCAATGGGAGAAATTTGATACCATTTCTTGAGGGGCATGTAGACAAAGATGTGTGGGTTCTAATAAGGAAGGTGAGTCTTAAGAAGTAGAAACTTTTTGAATGCGGGATACATCGTCCGTGAAGTCTCCTTTGGCATTGATTGTCATAAAATGAAATGTGTTACATCATCATCATCATTGTCATCATTGTCAAAACCTTTTCCTAACTAATTGGGTTCGGCTACACGAATCTTGGTCTGCCATTCTGCTCTATTAAGGGCCATACCCTCAATGCGGCTTTAAGTCCCTCATATCATTTCTCACATAACTTTATATTCATTTATGTTGAAAGCTCCATTTTTTTGTTTCATGGGAAATTCCCCTGCATAAAGGGGTGGTCTTTTTTTTCTTTTTTGGTTTGTTACCCCTGCCTAATTGCCTTATTTTGGGATTTCAATTACCTATTTCGATTATTTTAGTTTTTCATTTTGTTGATTCTACTTCCTTTTCGATGATCTTACAGTTATTGTTACTACCAATTTTCTAAGCATGGTCTGTTCCTGCCAAATTATTTTCATTCCAAAAACTTTAATTTTTACTTCTTGTTGATTCAAATAATATTTATCTGCAATCTTGCGGTCTGCGTGGACCTTTGGAGTATTCGTAGCCATTGTTTGCAGTTAGCAATTAAGTACAGCAGAAACATTCTTCCTCTTACGCATGAGTTACTTGGATCGTCATTCTTCTTGTGCTTTCTAGACATGTTCATGTTAACTTCTTTAAAGCTATATTACTTGGACATGGATATGGTATTGGTGTGAGATACTAGTCTAGGGTGTCGGATTCTCAATTAGATGCAAACCAAGATACTCTTAACTCTCTCTCCAAAGGAGTATAGAGTTGGGTATTGTTTTTCATAGCACAGTTTTCGATCATTAGTGGCAACAAAGTACAAATTTAGAACCCAAGGCATGATTGTTTCCGTATTACCTCGTCGATATGTGGTTTACTTTGGTAAGGTAAAATAAAATGTTAGTTCATTAATTTATGAAAAGTAAGCATGTATGAAAGATGAGTTAAGCCAAATGATCAAATTACCTCTCCCAATTGAACTAACTGCGATTGCCTCTCCTATCGAAGATATAGAAGTTGTTCTTGATTGTGAAACAAAAGGTTAATAAAGTCCAAAGGATCCACATAGGTGTTGGAAGTATGGCCTTTCAAGGCCTAGTTTGCAATGCCAGCACTATTCAGAGTCATTGTGGAAGTGACCAGGAACATAGTGGCTACCGAAACCTTTGCATACTGGGGTCCGGATAATCCGAAATAACCCTGATTGTATGAGGTGAAATTCTTGGACCATATTGTGAAGTGAGAGGATTAAAGGTTTTCCTGTAGTCAGGGTTTGTATGTTTGTGTTTGCCTCGTGTTGTGAGCCAGGGCTTAGGGATCAGTGGATCCCGGATTGTGTGAGATATTTTGTGTATAAGCCCTATGTGAGCAAAGCTAGGCTCTAAGAGGAAATAAGCCCAAATCCCTAACATATGTAGCTCGCTCACAGTGTGTGCACGGACAGTCGCATTTGGGAAGTTGTTCTGATGAGGTAAGATCCACTTATTAGAAATGTGCACACGTGTTGAGAGAGGAACCCCACATCCATAAGAGTGTATGTCCTTGGGGTGCACCTGTAATCCACTGAACACCTTGGAGTCCATGCACCTATTGGTTAGCTTTGATAGGTCCACTAATGTCCTGACTGAAGTATGTGACTCATAGGGGCATGTAGGGTTGGTTTAAGAAATTGGATTGGGTTTTTGGATCTAGCCTAGTGGAGTACCATGTAGCCCGACCTCTTGTGGGATCCTGTTTTCCCTATCGAATTTATGAGAAGTGTCAGTCCATGATATTTTGATGGAAAATAGTAGAAAACGATATCTTTCTAGATCATTTATAATATCTACAACCCCTTCTCTCTTTACAACCCTCCCTTGCTTATCTCCTACCCATTGGACCTCCAAACCCATCAAAACAAAGAGGATACAAAGTACTTACTGTCTTTTCAAAATTTTAAAGATAAAGAACATTGAGAGAGATGTTGCACATAGAATTAGAGCTGGGTGGGCGAAGTGGAGATGTGCAACTGGAGTTTTATGTGATTGCCGCATATCAATGAAGCTGAAAGGGAAGTTATATAAGACAGGTATGAGATTAACATTGCTTTATGGGGTGGAATTTTGGCTGTCAAGAACTAACATACCCATAGGATGAGTGAGATGAGGATGTTGAGATGGATGAGTGGCAAGATAAAAAGGGGTAGAATTCGAAATGAATACATTCAAGAGAACTTAGGTGTGGCTCCAATAGGCGATAAGATGAGAGAAAGTAGACTTAGGTGGGTTGGGCATGTACAACGCAGACCCAGTGCAACACCTGTTAGGAGGTGCGAGTTGGTTTAAGTAGAAGGTTAAAAAAGGGTAAGGGATAGGCGCAAAAGGACATGGTTGGAAGTAGTGAGAAAAAATATGGGGACTTATGGTCTCATTGAGGGTATAGCCATTGATAGAGCAAAATGGTAGACTAGGATTTGTAGCCGACCCCAAATAGGAGGGAAAAGGCTCTGATGATGATAATGAGAGATGGCGAGATCTTTGGAATCTTAGAGTCTACTTATCCGTCGCCTCTTAAGGCGGAGAGAGGCCCAAGATTACATTTTCCCTAAAATCAGAGTCCCAAGTTTATAATCTAGAGAGCTCCAAAAGCTTAGAGAGACCCAAGATTGCATCTTTTCTTGAAACCAAAGGCTCAAAGCATAGAAACCTAGAGAGAGAGCTGCGAGAGAGAATTATGGCATCATTCTCCATTTCCCTTAATGCAACTCTTATCTCCAACCCGAAAAAATAGATCAAAGCTTAGTTCAAACAGAAAGAATTTCTCAAAAGATTGAAGAAGTTCATTAGGGTTCTACCGGTTAACACTGAATTTATTTTTAACTGAGTCCCATTTTAAGAATCAAGATCAAATTGAAGATTTAGAAAGAGTTTCTTAATGGCTTTGGTAGTCGTCAATCAAAATATTATTAATCAAATGACATACAGTCCTGAACTAGATTGGCAATAAAAAAGTGTATAATATAACAGTCCATGTTTCATTAATAAACACAAAATAAGAAAAAAAAACAAGAACTTAACCAGATGGGAATCTGAATCAATAAGAAGAGAAGTTTGATTCCTGTTTGAATTTGGGTTGCTTCACCTCTTATCATCCCTTCCATTCTAAATCAGACAAGTAGGCTCACTCCTATCATTGGGTGGAGTTGGAACCAAACTATAAATTGCTTCTACATCTGAACGAATTCAGACAAGCAGGCTCACTCCTATCATTGGGTGTAGTTGGAACCAAACTATAAATTGCTTCTCCATCTGAACGAATTGTAATCATGCCTATGACTTAACCCCCCAGTAAATTCATTTAAAAAAATAATTCTAAAAAAATTGCCTAATTAGTCGAATTCTTCCCAATTACAATTATAGGTATAAGTAGTACTTTCCTTGTCATAATTTACCCAATTTATCAAGAAGATCTTATTTGTAATTAGTCGAATTCTTCCCAATTATGATATTGTTAGATAATTTCCCATGTTAGAAGATTTGCAAGGGAGAATTTAGAGAGAGAGAGAGAGTGGAGGGTTTTAGAGAAAGGGAGTGTGGAGATTGAGAGGGAGAAAAGAGAAAAGTGGATGGTTTGAAGATTTGCAGGTGATGATTTTAGAGAGAGAAGGGGAGGGTTCTAGAGAGAAAGCATGGAGAATGAGAGGGAGAATAGAGGAAAGGGGAGGGTTTCAGAGAGAGTGCAAGAGAAAAAGATTCACAAGTTTAGGATATGAATAGAGTAAGCATATTTAGAAGGGAAATTTTGGGAGAAAGAAAGTGAAAACGGGATGGGGTTTTATGGAAGGGCCCCCCTAAAATATTAAACGAAATTACTGGGCCTCCCGAAATGAAAAAAGATGGAAGGTTTTGTTCTAAGATAATTTTTGGGGGTTCAATATGAAAGTTTCCCTCTTTTTTTTTTTTCTTTCTTCCTTTTAAACTCTACTTTTTAAGGGATTTTACAATTTGTATTTTGTAAGAGCCCTTAAACGTAGGAATTCAAACCAAAAATACAAAAAAGATATGCAAACAAATTTTTTTTCTTTACTTTTTCTGTTTTCTAGGGGATTTTGCAAATTAGAGGCCCTTATAAATTTCCAAATTTTACAAAAATTTGTAGAATTTGACAAATATTATGAATAGTTTGAACACTGAAAATGAAAATATAAGAAAAAAATGCTCAAAACAAATTTTTATTTTTCAGGTATACTTTTTAAGGGCGTATTTAAAAATTGTAAAAGCCCTCTAAAAGAGTAAAAAATAAAACTTGAATTTGGAAAAAAAATGCCCAACTAATTTTTTTTTAAAGCCCTAATTTCCTAAACTTCAAAAGGTAAAAATAAAAAAAATTCAAATTTTTTGCTTCTCTAAATTCCTATAAACAGAAAAAAAAAAACTGAATCGGGGGTTGAATATTGAATATTTCGTCCTGTTGCAGGATTTTGTTCAGAGAAGTGTTGGGATCTGACTGCAAAGCTTGCTTTTCTATTGATTTAGTGAGGGGGGGAGGTGAAAAAATCACAGCGCCTGTCTCTCTCTATCTTTGAAATTGTGTTTTATACTTCCAGAAACCATAAAGATTGAAATTTCCTAAAATGCCCCTGTAGAAACCCATAAGGCTAAAATCCCTCCCTAAATACTTATTTTGGTTAAAGAAAGCTCCCCAAAAAAGGCGAAATTGACCTTTTCTTTTGCCCTGTTAGGACCGGCCAGTTAGGTCTTGGACTGGTGGAACCGTCAGTCCAGATGCTGGACTAGCTGGTCCACCGGTCCATGACATGTTTGATGGCCGGTGTAGGAACCTGACTGGATTGGAAAGATTACCAATTCACTGGTTCTTGGTTCGAACCAGTCGGTCTGGTCCTGTTCTGAGAACATTTTGACGTAGAAATTGCTTTTTTACCATGCCGATTCTCTGAACATGATGTGAGTCTCTTGCATTTATGTAAGTATTGTCTACCCGTTTTTTGATTTATGATTAGGAAATCTTGATAAGTATATGATAAATAATGGACGTGATTGAGCTTTCTATGGATGACATGGAATGATTGCAACATGTTTATTGTGTTCTGCATGGTAATCACATTCCTCTTATCATTTGACAGTGATTTATGTATTGCTAGTTGAGGTCCAAATGATCTGCAGAGGACCTTTAATTGTGATGATTCCCTAAGATTTTTAGACAGGGTGCAGAAGTCTCAGTTAAGGAGCTAGATGGCTTGTTGTCTCTTCTGGCCGAGAAAAAGAGGAAGATGGAGCAGGAAGAGGCTGAGACGAACATGAAAATTCTGCTTGATTTCTTGCACTGCCTAAGGAAGCAAAAGCTTGAGGAGCTGAAGGAGGTGAGCATCTGAACTTTCTTATTTATGTGCAATGGCTTTAAATGTGATTCTTTTGCAATTTCTATCCTTTTTTATTTTATTTTATTTTAATTTTTCTGTTTTTATTGTTTAGAGTTCCGATCCTATCCAAATTTTATTACATTATGCTATGTAGAATAAATTGCAGAATACCATGGGGGTTGGCATTCTTTTTTATTCTTGAGGATTTGTGATTTGTGATTTGTTCTCGTGTATTTTCACTATTGTGATTCACTTTCTTTGTGTTATCTACAGGTGCAAACTGATCTCCAGTATATAAAAGAAGATGTAAGTGCTGTGGAGAGGCATAGAATTGAACTATACCGAGTCAAGGAGAGGTATTCGGTGAAATTGCAGATGCTTCTTGATGATCCCATGGCTGCAACAGGCTTCCCTACCTCAAGTGACAAGCATAATAATGGCCTTTCTTCTAATGTTCATGGCACCCAAGGTGTGGCTGTCTCTGAGAGTTTTCAGAACAAGAAATCTGAAGTCAAGGGACAAGGCAGTTCTCAAGGAATACAAAGAAAGGATACATTTAATGGGTCAGATTCTCAAAATGTTCTTGGTCAATCTGGTCTGGCTGTTGCAAGGAAGAGAAGAGTTCATGCGCAGGTCTTCTTTTGATTTTTGATGACCTCCATTTGTGTATGGGTGGAAAAACGATCCTCAACAGCTTATCCACCCATTTGAAACTTATTCACTGGCTTCGATTTTACTTTTAGTGGTCGTAACTCTCTTTTTCTATACTTGGGAGCTGACTTCTATTTTCGTTTCATTTGTGATAGTTTAATGATCTCCAAGAATGTTATTTGCAAAAGAGGCGTCGTGGGGCTGGCCAATTGCCTAAGCCAGAAGAAAGGGATGGGAGTGGGGTAAATAGAGAAGGTTACCATGCAGGTCTGGAGGATTTTCAGAATGTATTGACCACCTTTACTCGATACAGGTAATGTTATGATGGAAATGTTCATTCAGAACATTGCCCTAATTTCATTTACAGACAGATTCATAAATAAACAATGGAAACTATATCATGCACATTCTGTGTAGACTACGTCGTACATGTCTGGGTAGCTGCTGTCCATCCTCCATGCTGGACGGTGGTGGTTAACTTTAATTGGGTGAATTATCTTCTTTAGAATGTAGACAGAATGCCCTGCTTTTTGTACTATGTTCATACACAGACTCTGTGTGACATAGATCCCTATTCTTAAGTATACAAATTTGGATACTAGACCTCTCAGATTATTCTGGTTATGCACTGATTTGACTATGTTCGTTTATCAGTCGTTTGCGTGTCATTGCGGAGCTTAGGCATGGGGATCTTTTTCATTCTGCAAATATTGTATCAAGGTGAGGAGTTCTTGAAATACCTCCACTTGAGTAGACACATTCATCTTGTGTATGCGTGCATGCGTTCATCTATGTTGCACACAGACATACATTATTGAGTGTGTGATTGTGTGTGTGTGTGCATGCGTGCATAGGTGCATTTATGTATTTTTGTGTACATATAGTCAATGTAATATCTGTTTATTCATCTATCATGCACCGATTTATATGTATGTGCGCACCTGTGTGTGCACGTGCACACAGACACCTAGACACAAACTCACTAGGGAACATGTGTATGCTTTGTATGTGTATGATTTTTCACTTTTGTAATACATATCTTGTAATCTTGGATTCAAGGTCAAGAATTTTGCAATTTTTCCTTTCTAGTATTTTTATGTTCATTTTGTGGAGTTCAGTTTGGAATTTTGAATAGTTTAGGAGCTAACATCCTCATGGTTCAATATTTTTTTCAGGGGAGAGTTGATTTGATGCTATATTTTATTAAATTGATCTAGTGACATGAGGAGAAAATTGTTGGATTACTTTCATACTAGTGTTTTCAAAAGTTTTTTGGCCATACACCCGTGATGAAATAAGGAAACTTGTCTACAGTGAATTGAGGTTTACGGCATTTTGAAATAGTTGCACCAACTAAAGTTCCTTTCTTGATGAATGTGTGTATGCACACGTGCTTATTTGATAAATCACATGTTGGTAATGAGGCCGTACTATTTCATTCGAAGACAATTGACTTATTATCCTTCATTCAAAAACTGTCATTTATCTGAAGATATAACCAAGGTTTGGGGGATTTGCTCCATGTCGCATTTGGCTTGAGGTAGACTTCCATACCTCCTGGTGGGAAACTGTGGGAGTATGAGATTCTACTGCATCACAGGGGCCCCTATTAAGGTGGCCGGAAACCTTACTGGAAAAAACTGTCAGCAGCCAAAGAATAGCCATAAATAAAAAAGCATTTTGCTAGAAAAGGCAGAGGGCTCTCCTGCCATCACGCATTTCCCAGCAGCTGCCCATAACCATCCCGTTCATCCTCCATCATTGACCAATGATCATGATTTCCCTCCTCTTCTGAGCCTTCAAATCGCCGCGTACTCCAGCAGAACCACCTCGTTCATCTCTCCTACCGCTCAATCATCTTCTTCCATCCGCCATCACCTTCCCCAAACCCGAACCTTCTAGAGCCTCAATAAAAAACCACTCCAACATCGAGATCTTCTTTGGAGGCTTAAATCTCCCGTTCATCCTTTCCCTTGCCTAATCTAGTCCAAGGGAAGCTAACAGTCCAGTTAGACAAGGAAGAGGTCCTATAAGCAAATACTGACTTGCAGAGTACCTTGATAAGGATCCTCGTAGAATCTAGACTTCACGGTATTTATTAGATACAAAGCTCAAGAGCGTTTGGGGAATCAAAGGGAAGTCAGACATCATTTTTTTTTTGGGTAATTCAGTGGGGAAGACTGGACCCTACCCTTTTTTTTCAATAGATTAGGGAGTTACATTTTGAAGGTTGTTAATTGGGGGTGTTAGCGGAAGGAATGGATACCATGATGTGGTAAGGATGCTACCACCACGACCCCAGCCCCTTTCCGAAGTTAGACATCATTTTCAAAAGTAATAATTACATCCTCTTTAAGTTTGAATTAGAAGAGGATGTGAACAAAGTCAATGGAGGAGTCCATGGTACATAGGGTGAAAATCTCTATGCCAACAAAGATGGCAGGGAGGCTGATTGCCAAAAATCGAGAAGAGAATCGGTCGCACAATGGGTAACACTACCAAACTTGCCATTTTATTACTGATCTATAAGTCGCTTCCACGGTTCCACCATGGGCTTATCAATCTCAATGAACGGTGCCACGAGATCGGAAGGAACTCAATTGTGCAAGAATCTGTATGGATGTGCAATCAGAAAATCTTCCCAAAATAGGTTTTTATTGATGGTTTTGATGTTGAAGAGTTTGTCGGTCCAGTTAATTGAGTTTGAAAGAATTCCACTTTTGTTTGAGACATGTTGGTCTGTTCGACATGATAGCTCTACCTGCAAAAACCAAAGTAGAACCAAGTAAACCAGGGTCTAAGCAACACTTAAGTGCTGAGAAGGGGAAAAGAGCTTCAACATCAATCGGGATGAGCTAAATATCCAAATGAAATATTCTTGGGTTGAGCAGAAATGGAACACAATGAAAAAATGGCTGAAGCAAAATAAATGGAATGAGGTCAAGAATCAAGCTACAAGTCTCAATCTATACGAAACGCACAGGCCTTTTTGTCTCGGTTTCATTAATTATGGTTTTCGGTTTCTTAGTAAAGCGGATTTCTCCCTTGACTCTATCTATGAAGTATGGAATTCTCTCCCGAACTCACTACTACCACAAATCCTCCAACAGGCCTTGAAAGCGGACAACATAGGGGATTGAATCCATCAAAAATTGATCAAGAGGGTCAGCAAATGACAATGAAGAATATGGATTAAATGAGAAAAGTCATGGAAACTGGGAAAGTGGTCAAGATCCTAAAATGGGAAACAGCTGAAAACAGACCCAAAATTTGAAGAAAATAATGATGTGGCAGAAAGTACTGACATGGGAGCTGAGCACAATAGGAATCCATTGAAAATGTCCTACTCCAATGAATTGTCTCAGGTTGGTAGAGACAAGAGACGGTATTTTTGATACGGTTGAAGATGGTAAGTCAAATGACCAACTTGCCATGGAAGAACAACAAATGGATGGCCCTGTTCTATTGGAAATCTGACTTCAAATTTTCAAATTTTCTTTTCCAAATTTTTTTTGTATGATGTACTATTACCTAAACTTGGGTCGTTGAGTTAAATTTGAATTCAAATTTTCTGTAGAGCTAGACTTGCTCATATCTGAATGCGAGTACAATTGTAAGGTGGGATGCTTTCGTATTGTTCCATTTTCTTTGGTATGTAGTACTTTGCATGACGCCATTGTCCTTTATCATAAGCCCTTTACTATCAGTTCTAGACTTGAATGTTCTTTGTGAACCTAATCCACCTCATTTTAATTAGGATTTTTTCATTGGCTTCCATCTCTCTTGTCAGCTTTCACATCAGTAGTAGGATCCACATCAGTTCATTGGCTATGCCATCAATTTGCTCTGCAGTTTGGGCCTGTTTATTGGTGTTTCCAGCTTTAGGACTCTACTAAACTTTGCCCTTCCTATTTTTTTTTTTTGGAAACATTTTCCTTCATCTTAATAAGCTAGGGAGCTGAATCTTGTGTCCTATTGACTAGTTTTGTGTTTGTTTGTTGTCTTTGTTTCCCTACTGCTTGTTTTAAGAGTTCTTTTGAAAGGCCTGATTTCTTCATGTATAGCCTTTGTTGTTCTCTTGTCGAATGTTGTGATTGATCTATTTTGTTGACGGAGTGGTGGTTGTGTTTTCCACCTTTTTCTAAAGCTTGATTTGCCTGCTTGCTTCTATGATTTGTTTGTTGCAGTTTGATCTCTTTTGCCCAGTAGACCAACAAGTTTCACTAGATAATAGGATTCCTTCATATTCCATCGTGTAAATAACTCATCATCACCTCTATTGATGCAAATCTCCAATATCCTTGGAGAGCTTGTTTCTGGGTTGTACATCCATATGAACTCATTTACATTCAAACTGCTTCTAATATCTAGTGGCGCTATCCATTGGGATTGAATTTCCAATAGCGGAGGCATGTCGGCCTAAATAGTAATGGTAAATTTGCTATGCTTACCTAATGAGCATTAATCTTAACTTTGAGATTTCAGGTTAAATTTTCGCCATTACTATCATTGAACATGTGGAAAACCAACCCCCCCCAACCCCAACAATAAAAAACAAAAACCAGGGTCGTCCTACACTGACCTCGATTGCAGCTTTTTCTGATTCGAATCTGAAAATATATACATCCTATCTTTAGAAATAACATCCATCATGACTCAGATGCTCTTGAGATGTTGAAACTCTATTTAGGCCCTGGTTCTGCAAAGTACCCTATCAATGTGTTTTGGAATTCCATTTTTGTTTGTAAGGCCTCTTCCGTCTCAAGCGGTACTGTTAATCTTCCTTCATGAACATTATGTTAAAGGTAACATACATTTGGTAAAGGTAAAGGTCTCAAGTTAGTGGTCACAATCTCTGAGAATGATTTATCTTGAGGCAGGTTGTTTTTGGATCTTTTACGTTATTGTCACTGCTTTGAGGAGGCAATGCAGTATGTTGAGTGGGTTGAGCAATTTCTGAGGTAGGGGGGTTGAAGAAAATGGTGGAGTTGGGCCAAAGGAGGATGTGAGGGATGAGAAAAATGGAGTTAAGGTTTGGCAATGATGGGAAGTCTAGGGGGTTTGCAGGAGCGTGGGAAGCGGGTTTCTCCGATGCCCATAATTCCCTACCTTGAGAGCGCATTAGATTGCTCTTCTGGGAGCACCCATGCACGCACATGTGTGCGTATGGCTTATAGCTATGGTATGCCCTGAGCTCCAAAACAGTAAGCTAGTGGGGTTTTTCTAGGTTGAACTTTTTCACATGATAGATTCAAAAAATGAAAAACAGAAAAAAAAGAAAAATCAATATTGAGTTCTTTAAAGGCTAAATCTGCTATCCACAGTATGAATGGCCTGTGTTTAGTGAAAAATAGTGTGTACTAATTTTCCCCCTTTTTTCGAGTGAATTCAGTTTTTCTTTTCAATCTTGCTTGCCAATTTGAGATATAAAAAATTTGGGTTCTGATGGAACCTTAAGTTTCAAAATTGTTTATGCTAATTTGTCAAAAAAAAATAATCTTATGCTATTCTATAGACCTGTTGGCGTGTAGATGCGTGCTTGTGTATACTTGTGTGAGTGCATGTGCATGTGTGTGTATAACTGTGTATGGGATCTCGCTGCTGTATGTAGAGAGGTTGATGGAGCATTATATGCCCACGACCACGACCCAAATTTAATTTTGGCTAAACAGGCGACCACTAATCATTTGGTTTTTTATGTTTTAACTTTTTTACAAATGCTTTCTACATAAAATTTGGTGCGTCCTACATCAAGATAGGCACACAATTAAAAAATAAATAAATTCAAATAAACAAAATCAACTAAATACTTAAATTATAATGGTTATTTTGGTCAATTTGTTTTATTTGAATTTTTTTTTTTTTACATAGGGTGTTCCCTATTTTGATATAAGGATGCCTCAAGTTTCATGTAGAAAGCATTTGTAAAGAAGTTAAAAAAAAAAAACAACACATCTAGGCTATCGAACAGCCCAAATTCAAGTTGGGTTGTTGGTTCACTTGATAAGATAGCCCTAGTGGGTGTGTGACTTATAAAAGGCGTCAACCTTAAGGAATCAAAGTAAGGAACACCTCCAAACCATGCTAGAAGATGCAATTTTGGTGCATGAAAATCTATTTTTACTTCCAAATCATGCTAGGAGATACTAGCAAACCATGCTTGAAAATCTATTTTCACCCCTGATTGTGGAATGTAAGGCTTCAAAAATGGTGTCTAGTGATTTGATGTATAAACACTTGATGCTAGGAAACCATGCTTGAAAATCTATTTTCATCCCTTATTTTTATGGTATTCCATAGGGTCAGTATCCCATTAAATAATTGAGATTATAGGAACGTGACCAGAATGGGTTCATGATCCTTCATGCTATAGGAATCCTATTCTAAGTGATGGATGATTGCATTCCCCCCAAGGTACTACTGCTTCCATACCGCCAAATTGGGGTTTTGGACATGACCACCTATGGCCCCGCAGAGCTACCCAGAACTATGGCTTGGTCCTTCAAAAGGGCTCCTCATCCAAAGTAGGCATGTACCATCATTCTTCCCTTAAAGAAGTGTCATTGTTGCTTGACATTTTGAAAGCACCAATCAAACATAAGAAGCAGGCACAACCTGAAATAGTGGGAGCTCAGGAGGAGAAGATATGAAAGACAGCAGAACAAGAAAAAATGAACAAAAAAAGAGAATTGGAAAGGGATTACGCCTCCACAAGCTACCAGAGTAACAATGATTCAGAAATACAAACTCCAGTGGTAGAAGAACAACTGGGAGAAGGAAAAGAGTGTCCAACAATGGAAGCCTATTAAAACCAAGAAGACTCACGTGAGGATGAGATGGATGGATCAAACACAAGACAAAGATGGATCAAACACAAGACAAAGGCTATGTGTGGATGACATGGATGACTCACATCATTCAAAGGAGTGATGTGGAGGAACAAGATAACTGTGCAATGAACGAGAGGGAATAGAAGATACATATGACCATTAGTCATTTGAGAGAACATGAAATAGACGAAGAGAGCACACAGGAACATATGGAGCACTCTTGCTTATTCAAATGTGGAAACGAGCGAAGTGGAGGATGATGTGGAGTCAAGAAGAAGAATGAGAGATAAAAGTGGATGACTTGGGTGCACCTCATGACTCTATGAGTGAGGTGGCAAAAACTGAGATGGATAATCACTAACCACAGCAGTAGCCAATGAATGCTATTTTGCTCATTGCACATTGGAATGTTAAGGACAAACACTGGTTAAAAGGGAAGACACAATATCTCACCCAATGAAGCTGATGAGGAGCAAGAAGAGTATGGGTCTGAGGAGGTGGAAATGGAAGAATGGGAAGTGACCATCCAAGATCAAGGAGTGGTGAATTGCATTACTAGAAACATCAGCATTTGTGTTCTCTTTATTGAAATGGACACTCGGTGTCTAAGGGCTGGGAGGTGTCGAACAGCTTTGACATGCATACACTTGTTGATACATACAAATTCATGTCACACACATCAACCATTCATTTGACATGTGTCTGGGTTTTGTCCCTCATTGTTGGAAATGTGTTCTAAGACGTACTTTCTAAACAAAAGTTGTGCTTTTATGTTGCAGTCATACATGTATGAAAGATTTCTGCATACAAAAGGAAATATTGACGTTGTGCTTTTATTGTTATTTTATAGAGAAGGACTCCGATTGCCTTTGCTAATTCTTAATGCAACTCCTAAATTAGTTTATAAATGTTCTTGTTCTTTGCATGCTTTGCTTCTATTCCTACACAAACCTTACGATAGAAATTATGAAATAATAATATTTCTAGTCATCACATCGTCATTTGAGCCTCACCCAAACTATTTGAGATTGGCTACATGAATCTTTATCAAGGGTCATATGCTCAGTCATACAATAAGTCACCATATCTTTTCTCATTATTTCCAGCCTTGTACTTTGGGGTCTTCTCTCTTAGAGCCTTCCACTTAAGCCAAATCACCCCTCCTAACGGGTGATGTTCTAGGTCGTCATTGCACATGACCAGACCACCTAAGTCTACTTTCCCTCATTGTATCGTCTATTGAAGCTAGTCAAGTTACATAAAAAAGTCTGTCCATGCAGCTCTCTACCAAGTTTACCATATAAATTATGAAATGCTAATTGCTCTACGAAAGTTACAATAAAAAGTAGTGTTTCAAAAAGCGGCCCGCCTAGTCGCCTAGGGACTGAGTGATCCATGGGCAAGGAGTCCCTGGGTGCTAGCTTGGGTGAGCTCCCAATGCCCAGCCTGGGCAAGCACCCATGGACTTAGCCCCTCCTAGGGAAAAAATGCCTCTTATTGAGGTGCATTTTCGTCCTTTTCTCCCCTAAATAAGGGGAAAAAGGGGGGTTTAGGTTATTGTGTTACCTAAACGCCGTTGTTGACCTCTTGGAGTGGAAAATAATTTGAAAAAAGTCATTTTTTGGCATTTCTATGAGATCAATCAGGTATTTCAGAATTTTGAAAAAATGATCCAAATATCATCCTTTTGGTTTGGGTTTGATTTTGTAGATTTTTTTAATCTTATTAGAGGGTTTTTGGGAAGTATTTGAGATTGGGAAACATCTCAAACATTGAAGATTGAAGAACGAGTAAAAAGGTTAGTAAAAAGCTTCATATTTGAGATTTTATTTTCTATTTCAATGTCTGGTGATGTGGTTGGAAGTATGGTTATAACCGTAATCAAAATGACAAAAATTGTATAAGATATAGTTATTATGAAAAAGATACTAACAGGGGTATAAACTGGTTCAAAAAACACCTTGTCGGTATTAAGGAGAAATGTTGCCCTTTGTAAAAATGTTCCTAAAGCTATTAGAGAGGAGATTAAGCAATATATGAGTTCGAAAAAATACAAAAAGGAACAAAAGGAGCCTTGTCATTTGGATAAGTCTACTTTTGGTTCTTCTAAACGTGGCGATTCCTGTTGGAAATATGGTTATAACCCGATTCCATATGATAAAAATTGTATAAGGTGTAATTTTTGTGAGAAAGATACCAATGATGGTATTAACTGATTCAAGATACACCTTACCGGTATTAAAGAGAATGTTGTTTCTTGTAAAAAGGTTCTTGAAGCTACTAGGGATGAGATTAGACAATATTTGAATTTGATAAAACCAGAAAAGGAAGAATATGAGCCTTGTTATATGGAAATATCTTCTCCAGGTGCTTTTAGAAGTAGTGATCCGGGTTGGAATTATGGTCATAACCCGGATTCGAATGGAAAATATTATATAAGGTGTAATTATTGTGGAAAGGATACTAATGAGGGTATTTAGCGGTTCAAGAAACACCTTGCCGATTAAAGGTGTAATTATTGTAAAAATGGTCTTGAGGCTGTCAGTGAGGAAATTAAGCAATATTTGAGTTCAGTGCTTTAGTAAAACACAATAAGCATGAAAAGGGTGAAGAAGCACTAGGTAAAGCAGCCAACACTCCTAGGGCGTCTAGATCATCTGCACAAAGTAAGAGGGAGGTAGAAGAAGAGGTGGAAGGGGTAGATTCAAAAAAAATAGAGGAGGGAGGACAAGCGTTATGTTGAAGAGGGAGATGATTGTGATGATGATGGACTCGGCTCTGATGCATATTATGAGGCTTATCCGACTTTCTTTGATGTTGACTGAAGACTCTCGACTCCTTTAGTCTTAGACTATATATTTTTTTCCCTTATTTTCTACTCGTATGTGTTGTATGATTGTAAAGAACTATGGATTATGGAATGGTATGGGCTATGGAGCATTGAGTATGGTCTACGGAGTATGGATTGTAATTTACTATTATATTTTATTTTTGGTTGCGCTAGTAGTCTATTACAGGAACTTTGGATTATGGGATTTTTAATATTTTATGATGTATACTCATATTCCCCTGCCCAGAAATCTAGGCGCTTGCCTTGGCGTTGGGCGGACATGACCCCCATGACTGCCTAGGCGCTGCCCGACATTTTTTGGAACACTGTAAAAAAGTCTCTCCATGCGGGTCTCTTCCAAGTTGACCTTTAAGGAAGTAATCTATATAAGGTATAACTTTTTATCCTTGTATCATATACAATAACCTTTTTCCTTTCCTGCTCAAAGCTTCTCTCTCTTCCCCGAGTAATCTAGCTAATTATGCAATAGTATTATAGACATATACACTTCATAGACAGTTTGGTTGTTTCGTGTGTATGCCGTTATTTTGAAGTTTACATTCTTACACTCACATTTGTGTCTGCCATAGACACGCATGTTGTTTCTTTATAGCATGGATATACTAACTTTCTGTGGGGGCTAATTTGATTACAGTTAAATTTTTTCCATGCTCGTGGACGAGTGATCCTACCATGTACTAATTGCACAGCTTCTCCATGGTTTTTCTTCTCCATTTTTCACGATATATATTTCTGACAATCTCTTTAAGATTAGCCAACTTTTTTCATAGGGGTCCTTAAATTCCAATACTTTCTTTTGCAGTAGCATTTCTTTACTTTCTTTGAGAAGTAGGGACTAGGGATAGATAAGTCCATTCCAATTTTGCTCGACATCTTGTGATTGGTTATAGCATTTTCATCTATGTGGGACTAAATTGTGTTTAATCTTCAAACAGCATAGAATTTGATCGTGATGATGAATTGTTTGCCACTGCTGGAGTTTCAAGACGTATTAAAGTGTTTGAATTTTCCACTGTAAGTTTTAGGGTCTCTATAGACTCAACTCATTTACTTTAATTTAGAAGAACTTTTTCTTTAGGTATGAGTAACCTGATGCATTGTGGCTAATCTCATGGCAAATTAGGTTGTAAATGAACCTGCAGATGTTCATTGTCCTGTTGTGGAGATGTCCACTCGATCTAAACTGAGTTGCTTAAGTTGGAACAAGTACAATAAGAGCCACATTGCAAGTAGTGATTATGAAGGAATAGTAACTGTCTGGGATGTAACAACCCGTCAGGTAGTTGTTACTGTGATCTTTTCTTCTGAATTGCTAAAATGTCTTAGCTAGAATGTTTGATTTCACCAACTTAAATGCCTTCACAAGACAATAACTCCCTAGTGATGCCTTTTCAGAGTGTTATGGAATATGAGGAACATGAGAAACGGGCATGGAGTGTTGATTTCTCACGTACTGAACCTTCAATGCTTGTTTCTGGGAGCGATGACTGCAAGGTTCATATTTCTGTCTCATCTTAGAAGCATGGATTCAAATGATTGATTGCTTCCATTGGCGTACAAAGTCAAGCCCATAAGAAAAGGCTTGCTTTCTTTTCTTGGAATTGTAGTTTTTGCTTTCGTTGAGTTTGGTGTCAGACTGATTGTAGTAGCATGAGTCATAACAGTGAACAGTTAAAATAAGCAATTGCTAGTGCGAAAGTAAAAGTATACCATTCATGACCTTTGTTTGGTATTTGGTACACACCCAGCGAATTCACTGTCCATTGTCAATATTGGATGGTGACAAATCTCCACTGTTCATCATGGACCGCATTTTAGTGGATATGTTCCAATGCAAGCTGTGTATAGAAGAGTTCAATGCAAAAAGAACTATCTAAGACACCCATTTTACTATCTTAGGGTATCATAGCCTATGATTATACAAAGTATTGAGTCGTCCAATTTAAAAGGTGCTCTTAGCCAAGATTTGCATGGAAACTCTAGCTGTATGTGTAAAATAATCATTAATTCTGTAAATCACACTGAAAATTTGATGAAAATATTCTGAGTCTTTGACGGTAGCAATGTTTGGAAACCCGGTGATCCGGATCAGGAATCGTTGAACAGAACTGGGAATAGGCTAGGAACCCCCCTGGTCCTAGGTTAGCGATCCGGGGATCTGACAAATGATTTGTGTTTTCAAACACTGGACTGGATAGTAGAGGGTTAAATAGACAAGGATAGTATGTTAAATAGACAAGGTTCATGGGTAGTTGTGGATGGAGTATTGGCATGTGATTCTGACTTATTGCCTGTAGAGTTCTATTGGCCACTCTTGAGCATAGATCCGTTGACAAATTTAATCACTATTTTTTTCCTAGGAAAGATGGGTTGATGAATTTGAAATTTCTGTCCTCTAATTGGTTTTTTTGTTTTGTTGCTGTTTTAGTTCTCCTGGGTGTTTCCCACCCCCTTCTCTTTTGTTGTTATTTTAGTTTTACGAGTGTTTTCTCCTTGTTTTTCTTTGGATTTCTCTGTCACCTCTCTGGGTGACTTTTCGCCCCTGGGCATTTTGTAACTGTGTGTATTCTCCTTTCCATCAATACAATGTTAACATCATTCAAAAAATTGGTGTTGATGTCCTCTCCATTTTATTTTTTTTTCTTCCCCCGCTCTCTAGGTTAGTGGAGGTTGTGCAGGGACCCCACCAATTGTACTGATCTCATCAAAAGGAATTTAGGTTTTGGTCTGTGTGATGGGGCCAAAGGATAGAGAATTATGATAGCTGGTTTAACTTACCAAGCTCATTTACAACAACATCCTCGCAGTTCGGGGGAACTAAACACACACACACAAGCACACGCACGCACTAGACATCATTCGAGTTCAAACCTACCCCTTTCTAGCATTACTGATCTCAGAATTTTTTTATTCCTTAAAATAAGTACAAAAGATGGAAGTTTATTTATTAAGATTGGGAGTTGTGTGAAACTGTTTATTTATTAAGAACGTGTATCAGCTTTTCATGGTTGGCTACTGTTGTGTCTGCTTGCATATTGACCAGCCATAAGTATTTGATAAATCATTACAAGATTGATCCATGATTGTAGTTTCTATGAAAAAGCGCAAGAAATTGATATCGAAATGGTACTCATAGCTTTAACTATCCATTCACTTATTTGATCGCTTTGATATCGACTCAAAGAGTTACTGCATTTCTTTGGTTGCTCGTTATTACACAGGTTAAAGTTTGGTGCACAAAGCAAGAAGCCAGTGTTCTCAATATTGACATGAAAGCAAATATTTGCTGTGTCAAGTATAATCCAGGATCTAGCATATATGTTGCGGTATCCATTCACCTTTTCCTTGTGTGAACCAAGTCTCAGTGGGAATATATAGTGTGTTAACTTTGTGTCATATTGCAGGTTGGTTCTGCAGATCATCATATTCATTATTATGATCTGAGAAACATTAGTGCTCCAGTACATGTTTTCAGTGGACACAGCAAAGCAGTTTCTTATGTGAAGTTCTTATCAACTAATGAGCTTGCATCTGCATCCACAGACAGTACATTACGCTTATGGGATGTGAACGAAAATTGCGCTGTACAAATCTTATGCCTCATTGCTCTTACATTCCTTTGTTTATGACTGCAGATATTCATAAATAATAAATATTATGTATCTTTATCATTTCTTAACTTATTTCAATGCCAGTTTTTTTAAATGTATGATTTTATGCCTACTTTGACTTTTTTTCAAGTTACATCTTCGAAAGGAATTAATTATTCTTGATCTAGAAACTTCCAAACCTGTTAGATTGGTTATCCTTTGACATTATTGAGAATATCCCCAAAAATTGAAGTCATGAGGATTCTTTTACTACCATCGGTTCTTGAATATAGCCATCTTGGCTTGTGTCTGGGCTGGAAAGGGGAACACATTATGTTAAGTGAGCTTCTTGGTAAAAATGGTAAAAGATTTACCTTGGGTTACTGATATTTCTGGATGGCGCCAGTAGTACATGGAAGAGCAACTTGGGGTTCACTTTTTCAACACTGACAGAGTAACCCCAATGGGAATTAGTGCTCTAGTTTCTGCTACAGTGATAGTTTCAGCTTATTCACTCATCTGTTCTTCTGGTTACTCATTTGTAACTGCATGATCAAACCTGCTGCCAATCAGTTCTCTCTCTTTTTCTGACTCCTGATGAATATTGTGTACCATAAACCAATCGACTAGAGTCATCACCGACCATTGACGCGTGGGACGGTGATGGTGAGAGCGTGGAATCCTCGTCCTAGGGTCCAGTTTTGTTCTGGTGGCTCTTACCATCTCCATCACCATCACCATCACCATCAGTCACTTAAATGGACAGTGAGGACCCATACTGGTATGATTTTTCCAAGGTCCATTGGGTTGTATTATACTTCCCTTTTCTTTCTTCCATGTTTCTTTTTTCAACATTTTGGAGGCTGTATCTAAGAAAATGTGGTTTTGTGGCTGCTTCTTGTGTGTAGGATGCACCTCTTAATATATTTTTCTTTGCCTGTTTCATTTCATTGTTTAATGGGATTTAATTGCATTCAGAGCAAGCTGGTTTCTACAGTTCATATGCAAACCCATTATGAACTGCTACATATCTTAAGTGCCTCATTTTTGCACCGAAAAAAAAAATGCCTAATTCTACTTTGTTCAATCCAAAATCGCCAATTATGAATTCTTTTAAAACATCCAACTTGGTTAGATATCAATTGTCCAACTTAGAATGAAATTATAAAGTTGAGGTCTGGCCTCAATTTTGTGTATTAAGCAGTCCTTGATGGACATCAATAGTGCACCCCGCTGTGATTTGGAAAGAATTCCTTGTCTTTTCTTGATGGTTTACTAATTATAATTCTATGTTTCGAGATAGATGTCTGCTTTCATGTTTTTCCTTCCTGCCTTATGAAATCATAACTCTTCCAGATCCTAGAGGTTTTCAGTTATAATTTTACTATGATGATTAAAGTATTCTAACCCTTTCTCCATATTTTTTCTCTTTGATGATATGGAGCTTTATCTCTCAACCCTGGAGTTTGTGGAAACAGAATTATTGACTTCTACTCATTCTCACTCATCAACTTGAGATTCATTCCAAGATATACTGAAATGTGCAAATATGTTGCCGAGGGCAGATTTTTTCTTATACTAGCAAAAACATTTTGGCTCAGGAGTTTGGCACACTTCTTTGTTCCTAAAATTTTGGCTTCATTTTGTCTGCTTCCCTGTCACACTCTGAAGATGCTTACCCTTGTCGCGGTTTTATATTTGCTTGTTACAAAGTGGTCACCTCATGTTTTCTACATATTGTTTGCTTGTTACAAAGCTGTCACCTCATGCTTTTGAATTGTTTGTTTCAATGAGAATACAAAGGCATCGATTTACCACAAATGTATAACATAGGGTTCAATCATTATCATGCTGTACATATGGAAGTATGTACAATGAGACCATTTACTTTTAATACGAGGTCACAATCATCATTGACCGTTGGATTTGAAACGGAGTGGTTGAGGATGTGTCATTGTTTGGGCACAAAGTCCAATATAACATTTCTTGAATGTTGTGACGCTTTCATCTATTGGGTTTCATAGCCAATGGTTGAAACTGATTGTGACCTCCTTGTACCATGAATAAATGGTCTCATAGTATACAATCCCTTATACATATTTGTCTTAAACATGGGCCACTTTTGCATCTTCACCCATGCTGCATTGACGAAATGGATTGTGTTTCTATTTATTTATTGGTGAGCAATACATGTCCAGGTGCGGACGTTTAAAGGACACACGAATGAAAAGAATTTTGTGGGTCTCACAGTGAACAGCGAGTACATAGCTTGCGGCAGCGAAACAAACGAAGTTTTTGTGTACCACAAGGTAATAATTAGCGATATGGACATCAATTACCACTTATGGATGCTGATTATTTAGAGTGGGATCCACTGGGAACATTCACCTGGGTTCACTCGGGTACAAATAATATCCAACCATCCATAGAACTGTGTATCTATCTGAGTGTCATACATCAGACCATTGAACTACTGTGTACTTCACCTTAACCGCATGAAGTTTCTTTATTTCTTGTGTATTTTTCCTAGAAATTATCCTATGATCTTATACTGATCTGGTGAAATATGATTCAGGCTATTTCAAAACCAGCAGCATGGCATAGGTTTGGTTCCTCTGAAGTGGATGACAGTGATGATGATGCAGCCTCACATTTCATAAGTGCGGTGTGTTGGAAGAGCGATAGCCCAACAATGTTGACTGCAAATAGTCAAGGAACAATAAAGGTTCTTGTTCTTGCAGCGTAAGCTTGATTAGAAGGCGGGTTTTCTGTTTTCCTGGCATTTGTGCTATTCTTTAAGTGAACAGGTGAATTCTTAGTTTGTTGCATTCATGATGGTGTATAAAATTGGTTGCACATAGAAGGGAAGGTCCTAAGAAAGTACCTATGTGATATGTAGAATGTTAATCTGATCAATATAAGAAGGCTCATTATTTTGTTTCCTTCGACTATGAGAAAGGAACCATGCAGGTTGCTCTCTTTTGTACTTTAAGCACTATTATCAGATTGGCTTTAGCTTGTCATTTTGGCCAAAAAATGGGAGGGCTTCGGTGCTTGGGCCAATTTTGGGAGTAGCTATCTATTTAAATACAAAAATAACAACATTTTGAAGAAATGTACATGTGGGCTTTTTAATTGTTTCAGATATTTTTGAAAATATCAGCCATTTATTTAAACATTCCAAATACTGTCGCTGATGTATTAGAAAAGTTGGCTATTCTTTCGCTTTTGCTTATCCACTTGGCAACATTAAGATAGATTCGTTCAAAACGGAGGAAATCTGACGACATTAGTTTTGGGGGATCACGGTTTTAAAAGTGCAGTTAACTGTAGTGGTGATATAGTACCTGAGCAGTGGGTGTAAAAGAATGTGATTGGGGTGTAAAAGACGAAGATTGAAGACACCTAATATTTGCTGAGGTTGGCTACAGCTACAATGTCCTCTCCAAGTAGGCCTAATATTGCCTTCCATATGCTATGGGTAAGCTTGGAGTTGCAAAGTGGAGTGCCTTCCAGCTGAGATATGGGCTTGAACCAAGCTCATCTTGCTCTTCAAATGTGATTTCTCGAAGGAAAAAGTTTATGCAAGGTTGCTGTTAAGTAGAAAGAAAGTAGGCAGCACCTCGATTACTAGTTGAGAAGGATTGGTCACCTCGATTACTAGTTGAGAAGGATTGGTCAGGCACTAGAAAATCCTCAATTTGGCAGATCAGCTTGGCCTCGAGTATTATCAATTTGGAAAGAGAATTTCAAGTCTTAAATATAACATATTGGAACAAATCATCTGGATGGTACATTTTCAGATGTTCATGGATTTGTTAGATCTACACAATTTTTTGAACTTTAAATTTCATAGTTAGGAGTGGAACCATTTCATGCCATCATATTGGGGTTTCTTGGGCTGGAATAACATTTTCTAGTGGCGGTTGGTAGTGCTGCACTACTAACATTTTCTAGGGTGTAGGGATTCTTTTTTTGTCGACTTTTTATTTTTGACAAAACAAAACAAGCAGACATAAGGGTGGCAATGGGGATCCGAAAAATATTTTATGGGACCTGACCAGACCCGAAGTCATTAGAACTAGACTTGGACCCGGACCCGGAATCGAAGTCACTGGACCTAGACTTGAACATGAAAATATAATGTGGGACCTAAATGAATCCAACCCAAAATATTAAAATATCTCTATATTTAAATATATTTTATAAATTTGGATATGAAAATATCAAGTAGGACCAAGACCCGGACTTGAATAGTGTTCAGGTCCCAATCTTGGATCTGGACACAACCTACCGGGTCCAATTTTTAGATTCATACGAGCGGTCGGGTCCATACGTCAGGTTCGTGGTCCATTGCCTCCCCCTATACACTTAACATTGTTTTTTGTATTTTTGACTAAAGAAGACCTAGACTCACTGCTCAGCAAGAAACAAAGTAGAAAAGGGATATAATGACAAAAATGAGAAAAGAGCACCAATGAATATGACAACTCATGCAGAAAGAAAAAAAAAAAAAATTATTATTATTATTTATTTTAGTTTATCTTTTAACTTTAAGAAGTGCGCAGAAGTTTGTGTGTGAGTTGATATTTATGAATTTGAGTTAATTAGTTATCAATTGGATTGGGTTAGTTTAGGAGTATAAATAGATAAGATTAAATTAGGGGAGCCAGTTTAAGAATGTAAAAGGATAAAGTTAAATAAAGAGTAGTTTTTAAGCTTTGGATAAAAAGGATGGTACGTGAGGTTAAAGGAGGAGAGAGAAAATAGGGAAGAAGAGATAAAATAGGAAAAGTATAGAGAGAATTTTTATTGTTAATGTTTATCTTATTTTTAAGTCTATTTAAATGGAGGTTTCCCTTCATTGTAAAGGGGAGGTGAATGAGTTAATAAAATTTGGTCTCGTGAAGAAATTTTTTAGGTGGATTCCCTTGCAAACCTTGAAAGAATGTATATTATCTCAACGTTAGGGTAAATTCCCTTGCAGACCTTGAGAGAGGGTATATTCTCTGAACTTTTTATTTTTATTTTTATTTTTATTTTTTTCTTATATTATTTTTTTACATCAATTTGTATCAAAGCAAGTTAGATCAGAGCAAGTTAGGTCCATCGTTTACAATGCCACCAAAAGCGAGTCAAGCTAATTCTGTTCCTATGGATGATCGTTGGGGGCAAACTATAGAAATTTTGACTAAAGCCCCAGAGGATTTTCGAATTGAAGTACGTGAGATGCATCAGGAGATGAATCAGATGTTGCAGCGGTTGGAGAATCAGAGGGTGCAGTGGCTGGAGAGTCAAGAGATGAATCAGATGCAGCGGTTGGAGAATAACCTTCCTCGTGAAGAAAGTACTAGCAACCATATTAATCTTGCATAAGGAATTCCGCGACAAATCTAGGGTGTTGATTTCGAGTGTAACAAAGATTACTGGCCAGATCCGCGTCTTATATAGTGACCACGAGAAGATTATAGGCCAAATTCGCATCCTATAGAACGACCACGAAATTTTGGTATTAAAGTCGACTTCCCAGAATTTCATGGTATGCTCCACGTCGAAGGCTTTATTGATTGGTTAAGTGCAATTGAAAATTATTTTGAATGGAGTGAATTGTCAGATGAATGTAAGGTTAAACTTGTTGCTATCAAGCTCCGTGGGTATACTTCGGCCTGGTGGGAGCAAGTTCAACAATCCCGATTTCGTAGTGGAAAAGGAAAAATTACTGACTGGCAAAAGATGAAAAAGAAATTGAAAGAAAATTTTTTTCCTGCAGATCATAAAGAAATTTTCTTTCAAAAACTCCAAATCTTTGACATAATGAAAAAAAAAGTAGAAGATTATATGGGGGAGTTTTATCGATTAGTTGCTCGAAATAACCTCTAAGAAATGGAAGGACAAAAGATTGCTCGATATGTAAATGGCCTTCAACCTAGTATTAGGGATGAGGTTTTTCTACATCATCCATGGACTTTAAGCGAAGCTTTTCAACTTGCTTTACGAGTAGAAACGAAATATCAAAGGAGTACCGGTAAATGCTTTTACCTCCAGAAAGAAGTTTTACGCCAACCGAAATTTAATGAAAAAAAAACAGATAATGTAAAGTTTATGTATTATCGATACAACGAACCATGATATCGTTCGTTTGAATGCCCAAAAAAGAAGATGGAGGTACACTTGACTAAGGAAGAAGAAGACGTTCCAGAAGATCAAATTCAACAAGTCGCCCTCCATGGTGATGAAGAAGGAGATCTACTTTGAATCAAGCTCGAGGTCGAGCTGCTTCCAACTCCAGGAGAATGATGCAGAAAGAAAATATATATATATATATATTATTATTTATTTTAGTTTATCTTTTAACTTTAAGAGGTGCGGAAGAGTTTGTGTGTGAGTTGATATTTATGATTTGGGTTAATTAGTTATCAATTAGATTGGGTTAGTTTAGGAATATAAATAGATAAGGTTAAATTAGGGGAGCTAGTTTAGGAATTTAAAAGGATAAGGTTAAATAAAAAGTAGTTTTTACCTTTTGGATAAAAGGGGATGGTACGTGAGGTTAAGGGAAGAGAGAGAAAATAGGGAAGAAGAGATAAAATAGGAAAAGTGTAGAGAGAGTTTTTCTTGTTAATGTTTATCTTATTTTTTAGTCTATTTAAAGGGATGTCATTGTAAAGAGGAGGTGGATGAGTTAATAAAATTTGGTCTCGTGAAGAGATTTTTGGGGTGGATTCCCTTGCAGACCTTGAGAGACGGTATATTCTCTCAACCTTGAGGTGAATTCCCTCTCAGACCTTGAGAGAGTGTATATTCCCTCAACATTTTTATTTTTATTTTTATAGTGTTGTTATTTCTTTGCATAAATCTGCATTAATTCGTATCAGAGCTGCATCAGCAACATACGTGCCAATAATATGCTTTTGGACGTACGAAATAGACATGCAAAGCTATCTGCCACCAATAGCTCTTGAGAGAAAAAAAGAGGTCGATTTTTGTTTTTTGTTTTTTGTTTTTTTTTGTTTTTACCTAATACAGAGAGAGATGAGAAGCGGAGTCACCTGCTACTTGATTCTTTAGATGAAGTTTTAAATAAATGAGAGACAGAACCAACCAGCCATCTGCAGGATCTCGGGAAGGAATAGATGAGAAAGAATTCGAACAAGCTGTCTACAAGTCTTATTAGGATTTATAGTTTTGCAAAGTTTAGATGCAATCTTCCCCAGTAAACATTCCTAGTAGTATCAATCACAATCATCTTAATTCTATTAGGAAAGGATCTTAAAAAAGGTAGTTTTTTTTTATTAACACATCAAAAAGACGATATTTTAACCGAGACAAATTTTCTCAATCAAATCTTGTTTGCTTTCATTTGAATGCTAAGTTATACATATGTTTATAGGGTCAAAGAGAAATCTCATACCACCTTTACATCATTTCAAGTAATTTACAACAAATAATGAACAAGCAAAAAGAATGCATTTATAATAGTAAATGGAATCTACTTTGTAAAAAGCAAAAAGAATTTTTACATAAAAAAGGACAAAGATAATCTACTTTTTTAGCGTCTTGAGTTATCTTCAAAGTTGTAGACATTTTTTTCATCAATTACTTTCATTTAGTTGAATTTTTTTATCATTATCATCATCAAAACCTTTTTTCAACTATTTGGGATCGACAACATGAATCCTGATCAACTATTCTTCACTATCAAGGCCACGCTAGTTAAATTTCTTTATTTTAGAAATAGCTTGAATATGTTTTGGCACTTTAGCTGGACATTGAGCTACCATATATCCTTGCCTGCAAGCAAAATAAGGACCTAAAAACGGGTTTTTTCCCATTTTATAAAATTATTATAGGGTTTATAAGACCTTTTTGTAGAATTTTTCTTAATTTTTGAATGTTGAGGTCTTAACAACCTATATTTACAGGCTTTAGGACCAATTTTTAGCAAT